TTCTGCCAGGCTGTGCCAACCCAGCTTGTAGTTAGCATCTGTGAGTCCCAACTCTGAGAACCACCTCTGCTAATGTGGCCCATAGAAATCCGTCTCTGGGGCCCGGAGCGGTGGCGCAAGTGGTTAAAGGTCCTCGCCTTGCACGCCCGGGATCCCATATGGGCTGCCGGTTCTAATCCCGGCAGCCCCGCTTCCCTTCCAGCTCCCTGCCTGTGGCCTGGGAAAGCAGTCGAGGACGGCCCAAACCTTTGGGAACCTGCACCCGCGTGGGAGACCCGGAAGAGGCTCCTGGCTTCGGATCGGCATAGTATCGGCCCGTTGCGCTCACTTGGGGAGTGAATCATCGGACGGAAGATCTTCCTCTCTGTCTCTCCTCTCTGTATATCCGCCTTTCCAATGAAAAAATAATAAAAATAAATCTTTAAAAAAAAAAAAAAAAAGAAATCCGTCTCTGATGATGGCTCGTATGTGCCATTCTTTAGACAGGCCTCTCCATAATTCTGGCATTATTTCTTCCAAATCTCATTCTTAAAACAATCACTGCTGAGTAAGTTTTCCTACAGAGCCATCTTGAGAATTTTTTCTTGAAACAAGAACGATTGCTTCTCTGGAGAATGTAGGCTGCAAACTCTGACAGCTGATGTGCAGAAGTGACAGGCAGGAGCAAGGAGCTCTCTCCGGGCTCTGTGTCTGACTCATTAAAAAAAAAAGGAGGGGGGCAGTAGCCAGGGCTCTCTGTTTTGGTTTTCATCTGTGAAATGGTACAACATCTGTTCCCTTGGGATGGGGGGCTGTTGCCACAGGGTGTGTACTGTCCCTTTTAGAAGAAATAGACATACTTGGAGGGTATTTGGAGAAGTATTTCCTTCCCCTTTTGCCAAGATCATTACAGTCTGTGAGGGAGGTTTATGTTGTTCCTATTATTATTGAGTAAATACTGAGAACATTGGCATAATAGAGGTGTAAAATCATTATGGGCCAGGATTGCAGCAGTTGATGATGATGTCTTTTTTTTCTTTTTTTTTTAAAACAGGATGCTTGTGTTTTAAAACAATGAGAAAGTAATTTACTGAGAAATGCCATTGGGAATAGAAAGGAGGAACTTCTTTTAAAAAGAAGTCAACCTGAGTGGCTGATGGGTAGAGGGACAAGGCTGCACTCATCATTAGGTCTTCCTGCTGTTTCAAGGCTTGGAGTTCCATCTGAGAATTGGAGAGGTTGAGTTATTTTTGTAGTCTTCACACACTTGTAAGCGGTTCAGCTCCTCCTGTTGAACACTTCACAGAAAGTAAATACAGACTATGCACCTGAGCCTCACCTACACCTGTGAGGACTCTACACTTCCTTTTTTAAAAAAAGATTAATTTGTTTTTATTGGAAAGTTGGATTTACAGAGAGAAGGAGACACAGAGAGAAATATCTTACATCTGCTGGTTCATCCCCCAAGTGATTGGAATGGCTGGAGCTGAGCCAGTCAGAAGCCAGGAGCCAGGAGCCTCCTCTGGGTCTTCCACAGGGGTGCAGCGTCCCAAGGTTTGGGGCCAACCTCCATTGTTTTCCCAGGTCACAAATAGAAAGCTGGATGGGAAATGGAGCAGCCAGGATATGAACCGGTGCCCATATGGGATCCTGGCGCATGCAAGGTGAGGATTTAGCTGCTGAACCCCTGCAATGGGCCCTCTCTATCTCTTATGGTGTTCCCAGAAATATTCCTGAGATCTCCCTACTCTGAGAGCAGGGTCAAAGCCCCCTGCCTAGAGGACTCTGAAATTCTTTTCTAACTGATCAGAGAGAAATGCTTGTTTTAGTTTACTTAATTTATCTGAAAGGTTCACTACCCTTTATGCTCCAGGCATGCAGGAGCTGGGAACTCAACCGGAGCCTTCCACATGTATGACTGGAACCTAAATTCTTCAGCCAACATTTGCTGTCTTGTACGATGCATTAATAAGAAGATGGACTGAAAATGGAGTTGGGACTCGAACCCAGAGACTCTGAAAAGGGATGTGAGCATCTTCAGTGACAACTGAACCCCTGCACCAAAGGCTTACCTGAAATGCCTGTTTCTAACTTAGATGATGTTTGGTTTAGTCCACATCTGGAAGACTGGTATGTCAGACACTGACAGGTGGCCTGTTGATTGATATGAGGCCATCCCAGGACAGAAAATCAGTAAGTCTGAAACAAAGATATGGGCCAGTGCCAAGCACTCTAGCAACTACTAGTCACACTGCCTAAAGATGGTCCTGATGTATCATGATTTGCTGTGTGTGTAGATGTAGCTGCCACTTATCTTTTCCTCTTCTTCATTTGATCATTCATTCATTCATTCACTCATTCACAGTTTACACTGTATCTCCTTCTTTGAGACCACAAGGGAAGACTGGCGTTGAATAAACAGATCAACAAGTAGTCATGTAACCACAGAGATGGTGAATAACAGTAGAGATGTCAGGCCTAACTGAAGATGCTAGGAACGCAGTTGGTGTGTGAAGAGCTGGGAGGTAGGTACCCAGGCAGAGGAGAACACGTGAAGCTCCTGGGGGCAAGATAGAGCCTGCATCATTCTCTCTGGATTTTCACCCTCCAGAACCGTGAACCAATTACACTTCTCCTTTCTTCCTGAGTCACTTGTCTCACATACTTTGCCATAGTAACAAAAAGCTGATTAATATAAATATCAAGCTAAAATACTTATAATCTCCACTCTGTTAGACACATCTCTTATGTATCTTATATCTGTTAGCTGACATAATGGTCACAGCCACCTAAGACGCAGTAGGTACTACTCTGATTTGAGAGGTCTGAATCTACATAACTGGGTTAAACCGCAGTGGTGGCATGCAGGGTCAGGATCAAAAACGTACCTACTGCCACTGTCAGGCTCACTTCTAAAGAGCAGGACCACAAAACAACAAAGACATCTCCACTGTCATGTGTTCATGAACCTCATTTCATGGACACCAATAAATCTCACCTAATGCACTCAAGTCTATCAGCACTGTGATAGAAATGGCAAGGGAGCAGAGGAAACAAGTCATGATCATTCATCAGACATGTGTTAAGCACCTACTACAGGTCTAAGGCACTGGAGACCCATGGTGAGCAGAACTGATACAGTGGACCCTGCTCTTAATATGTACACCCTTGTGTGTGCGTTTTTTACTCTATATTTGCTTATTTATTTATGTATATTTCTTTTTTATTTAATTTTTATTTTGAATTTTTGAATTTTGTGGTACAATTTCATATAGACTGGGATTTCCCCCCTAAATCCCCACCCCCCCGAATATGCACACCCTTGCAATGGAGACACACAGCAGACCAATGTTTCCAAAAAGAAGCATCTTAAGGGCCTGGCGTGGTGGCCTAGCAGCTAAAGTCCTCGCCTCCAGGGATCCCATATGGGCGCTGGTTCTAATCCCAGCAGCTACACTTCCCATCCAGCTCCCTGCTTGTGGCCTGGGGAAGCAGTCAAGGATGACACAAAGCCTTGGAAACCCTACACCCGCATGGAGAAAGTTCCTGGCTCCTGGCTTTGGATCGGATCAGCTCTGGCCATTGCGGTCACTTGGGAAGTGAATCATCAGATGGAAGATCTTCCTCTCTGTATCTCCTCCTCTCTGTATATCTGCCTTTCCAATAAAAATAAAATAAATCTTAAAAAAGAAGAAGAAGCATCTTAAGTTCACCTGTCACAAGAGGTATGGAAAGAATAAGGTTGCTATGAGAAGGAGCGAAGGTCAAGGTCATAGAAGACTTTGCAGGCATGTGCATGTGTTTTCACACCGAGTCCTGTGTACTAAGCAAGTAATTAAGAGGGCAGTGTTGCCATGGGCAGTGGGCAGGTGGGCTACTCCAGAAACCACCAGCTGTAATTACACTGGTGTGCACCTGCACTTCCTTTCATCCCTGCTTATCAGTGGCTCTGCGGGGAAGTGGGCTGAAGAAAGGGTTTCTCTGGATTTTCCTGCAACTGGTGAAAGCTTTGATGCAAAAAAGAAACCTGAGGACACTGGCTGGAGGGCATGTTTTTCACAGCCCTACTTGTGTGTCTCCTAAAGCCTAGCTGGCTGTTGAGTTACTGCACAGCACCAAGCTCATGGCTAAGTGGCTGCATATGTGGTAAGATTATAGGCATGGGGCCAGACAGCACAGGTTCAAGTCACCACATTGCCATGTAAGGGCTATGTGACCAAAACTAAGTCACTCCATGTCTCTGGATTTCAGTTTTCACATTTGTAACTTGTGGCCAATACGTAGGTAGGTTTCCTTACTAATACCTCTAACGTACTTCTGCCTCCCTGTTTTTGTTTGCTTTTTGCCTCTACGAAAGACACCAAAAACAACAAAACATATTCTCAGCCTCCCGTGCTGACAGATGAGCTGGTAGTCAGAGTTCTTGCCAAGTTGCCGGGGGGACTTCACTGATTCAAGTCACAAGGGAAGTCTAGACAGAAGGGGATTTTGTGTTCTTTACCTCCCGCTGCCTTTTCCCTGTCCAGAAGGCCGACTTTCTAGGCGGCATCAGCCACGCCATCACCAAGAGGCTGAGGGCACAGGGAGAAGAAGCTTGGTTCTCTGTTGACAGCCTTGACCATGCAAGTGTACAAATGAGACAATGAGCACAACAGTGTAAGTCCAAGGCCAGACAGGTGGCACAGGATCAGTCAACAGTGGCTCATATGCTGATGCTGCTAAAGAAGGTATAGGGGTAGGGGGGTTTGGGCAGAGATAGGCGAGCTCCAGGAAGACAGTGAATTTCTCCCTTCTTCTCCCACATTTCACATGCTTCCCATTTCACACACCCACCAGGACCTAACCAATCATGACTTTATGTGCTGGGAAATTGCTTGGGGAAGGGTTGTATTCCTCTGGACCCTTTCCTTATATCTAGAACCAAGGCACACTCTCCTGCAGTTACAAAGAGAAAACTCGCCACCCTTTTGGTGATCACTGGACAAAGTGGGGTGGCAGGAGGCCTGGTGGGCAGGTCTTACCTCGGTCGCTAAAGTCGTCCACTAACACAATCTCAGCGATCAGCTCCGGGGGCGAGCGGTTGAGCACGCTGTGTACAGTGCGCAGGAGGGAAGACCAGCCCTCGTTGTGGAAGGGGATGATAATGCTGGTGTTGGGCAGGCTCTCCAGGTAGCGTTTGCTGTTGCAGCTGGATCGAGACACAGGAGAGGAGAGGTTAGGTTCAGCCCTCAAGCAGCCAAGAGGCCACAGGCATAGATAGGCCTAGCTGACTAATGCTCACTTCCTCTTCAGTCATCAGGGAACTAGTGGGAGCCAGTTCCTTGGCATCCTGTAGTGCTGCCTCAGCCCACATGGCACACAGGGACAGGTACAAAACAGAAATTCATAATTTCATGTATGTGGAGGGTAGCTCTTCATTCATACCAGGATCCCTCTCCCTGATGTGATGGCAAGATCTATGACAGGAAATATAGTTAGGTCTGTGTCCCTGGTCATTGGCAGAGGACTTCTAAAACCTTTGTAACGTCCTGAGCACAAGGCGTGTTAAAACAATCTAATGTTCTCCTATTTGGTTGTTGATCCTTGTTCCTGTTACAGAGTACCTAACTCCCCTGGGATTTCCTGGCTGATGTGTGCATTGCTTCCTCAAGTGAGTTTCTCTTGGTAAGCTCCAGGATGGGTCATCACAGAGACCCTGTCAGGATTCAGTTTGGAGCTTTTTGCTCCAAGCCCCATCCACCAGGAAGAAGAAAGGAGCTGGAGGCTGAATAAATGGTGAGCAGTAGCAGTGTCTGTGACGAAGCCTCCACAAAAAGCCCTGAGCCACAGGGCAGGCAGAGCTTCTAGGGTGCCGAATCTCTGGAGGTGCAAGGAAGAAGGACCCAGACAGAACAGAGGTGCCATGCCCCTTCTCAGATTCTTGGCCCAGTGTGGCTCCTCCACCTGCCTGTTCCTTTGTGTCCTCAGTAATATCACTTTCACTACTCCAGTAATCATGGCTCCCTGGATCCTGTGAGCCATGCTAATAGATAACAGAACCCAAGAAAGGGGTCAAGGAAGCCCTGAATTTACTTCCTGTTCACTGGAAGTGCTAAAGGCCAGGACTTGGCACTGGCATCTGAAACAAGACAAGTTTTGGTCCCCAAGCATGTTTCCCTTACACAGCAAAAGGGATGTAGCAGACCTGACTAGAAGGTTCTGAGAAGCCAAGAGTATCCAGGAAAGGCCAGAGTAATCACAAAGACTTAAAAAAAAAAAAAAGCAGAGAATCCTTCTGTCGGGGTTACAAAATGAACAAGAAGGAGGAAGAAAGCAGGTTGTAAGGAGGGGATCATGAGCCTGGGGAAGTGGGAAGTCTTATATAGATGGGAATGGACCTCCACTCTGGCAGCCTTGGGCCTCAGAACTCAATTCTGTGGCAACCCAGAGAGCAAGCTTCCCCTAGAGACCCTGGAAGGAAATGCTGTCCTGTCAATGACACCCACAGGTTAGATCAGTAAGACCCAGGTCAGACTTAATGAACTACCAAACCACAAGAATACATCTGAGTTGCCTCAGATGCTATGAGAAGATTAAATGCTACATCTAAATGCAGAGTCACTTGTTAGGACAATCACAGAAAACAGACACACGAGGAGTCATCCTCGAGGTCATCTGACTTGACGTGTGAATTCTGTTTGCAGACAGGTGCAATGTGGAAAGGCACACACAAAACCCCCATAGTCTCACACAGCAGCCCCAGGCTCTGGCTTGACTGTGGATGCTCCTATCTCTTTGGAACAGGTGCTCTCGGGTGCCCTCCGCTTTCACCACTTCACTCCCTTGCATTACCTCCCTCCTGGAGGCGAGGGCATCTAGGATCCCACCATAGAAAGCTTTCATGGAACGGGGCTCTAAAGACTGGTAAGTTTGTAGGGGAGGGAATTTGTGACATCCTGAGCAAAATCACTTCCTTGTATGCCATTGCAATCTACTGTTAAGCTGTCAAAATGGGTCAGGGTCTCTGCAACTTGACTCTGAAATGCATTGAAAGCTATGGCAGACTGATGGACAGAAAAAGGGTTAGACACACGACTGAGTATGCAGAGCCATGTGAGAACAGAATTCTTTTTTTTTTTTTTACAATTAAAAACATTTTTTTAATTGGAAAGTCAGATATACAAAGAGGAGGAAATACAGAGGAATATCTTCCATCTGTTGATTCACTCCCAAGTGACTGTAACAGTCAGTGCTGAGCCAATCAATCCAAAGTTAGGAGCTTCTTCCGGATCTCCCATGTGGGTGTAGGGTCCCAAGGCTTTGGGCTGTCCTTGACTGCTTTCCCAGGCAACAAGCAGGGAGCTAGATGGGAAGCAGGGCTGTTGGGATTAGAATCGGTGCCCATATGGGATCCCGGCACATGCAAGGCGAGGACTTCAGTTGCTAGACTATCACGCTGGGCCTGTATTATTCTTTCAATTCTTCTGTAAGGCAATTTTCAGAAACAAGTGTTAGGAGACAATGGGTTAGAGGCTTCTTAGTTTCAAACAACATCTCTGCTAGGGGCTTCAAAGAAAACTTTTGGGGCAGATATCCAGATATCCTGCCCTCTCTTCCTTCACTTAACTCCGCCAGTCTTGGCAGAAAGGAACCATGGCATCCTGGCTGTGAGCTCATTTTCATCCGAGTGAACTGGACTCCCCTAATTCTAGCCATCCAGCTTTAAAGGACATGCCAGCCTCCCTCGCTGCTGTCCCTTGGGGCCTTCCAGACTCCTTTCATGTCCCCTCTTGCTCTTCTATCTCATTGCACTGTTTTCATCCAGTCCCCATGCCGTCCCTCTCTGCTCCTTTCCCCACCTCTCTAAGCCCTTTGATCACTTCGGCCAGTGTTCTCTGGGAACCTTCTCCAACTTCATTATGTCGGCCTTCACAAATAAATGAAAGCACCTCTTCTTAAAAATCCCTTCCCTTAACTCAGCTGAATCCTGTGCGGCCAAGAAAGACAGGCACTATCTAGTTTTCTACAAAAGTTCCTGCCTTCCATCCAATTTCACAGGAGGTTTGCTGGATTGAAGCAAGTTGGGGGAGGGGCCGACTGTAATAAATTGCCTGGAGTCCACTGGTGAAATACAATAGCATAGCTATTACCCAGCACAGAGCCCTGGCTCTCTCCAGCACCAAGCCGGGCCCCACAGCCTGCCAGTAGGTACACAAACACCATCTCACATTAAGGGAAGCAGACAAAGCCACAAAAGACTAAATTCACTCCTAATTTAATTCAATCATGGAATTAAAATTACTCAGAACTCACATAAAAGGCTCAGCTTGGATCATCGCCCTGAACGTGTGCCTTTCTCTTTTTGTGATCTACTTTCTTTCCCTCCCTTCTTTATCTATCCATTCATTCATTTACCAAAACAAGCACAAAATTTCAACTCAACTTTTGTCCGCAAGCACCCCCAGCTTATTAGAGGCCTTTTGTTTAAATAATAAATTATAGCACCCAATGCTTGAATAAGAAATTAATAATGAACGAATAGGGAATCTGGTTCCATAGACCTGCCCACAAGCCACCTTCCTGGTGATAACTTTGTAAAACCCCATTTCTCTTCTTCTGATATCTTAGATCACAGCACACAGAGGGGCCCTAAGGAGGGTATGGACAAAAAGATCCACCCCATGTAAAATTTGTGTGCATGTTGTGTCTTCAAATTTCAACATTGGATGATGCAGTATGCCCAGTTTTTGTATACAATAAACAAAAAGAAGTACCCCTCCACCTTGATGCACTCAGAAAATGTGCCTCCAGAAAGAAGGGACTAGGATTCTACACCCATTGTTCAGATGTTGGGGGTAACCATCATGGGAGACCAGGTAACAGCTGGAGTTCAACCTGCGTAATGTGTTAGAGAGCACTTGTCTTTCTCTGTTCTCTGATCTACAGCACAGCCTGAGAGGAAGATGAACTTGGCAGCTTGAAGCTTAGATGAGTTAGTGGCTTTGATTTAGTCCTCAAATACATATTTATTTAAAACTAACACTTATGTCTTTTCAACATTGAACATTGTTTGGCATAACTATCTGGAAACTGCGAAGGTTCACAGCAAAACTGTAACAGAAAACACTGATGGCCCTCAACTTAGTACAGTCTTTAATTTTTTTTTAACTTCATAATGATGCGAAAGCAAAAACGGTACTCTAAATACTGGATTTTGACCTTTTCCCAGGCTAGGGATGCACAGTACAATTCTCTTGTATGATGCTGGGCAGTGGCAGCAGCAGTCAAGGCTCCCAGTCAGCTCTGAAATCATGAGGGGTCAACAGACACGGACAGACAACAAAGCAGTATGACTAGGATGTCCAGATATTGTCAGTGCATTTTTGACTTATTTTCGATTCACAGTGGGCTGACTGGGATACAGGCAATTATAAATTGAGCTGCATGTATATTCTCTTCAACGCAGACACGTAGGATGTAGCTCTGCTAAACATTAAGGTCTGTCTCCCTCTGTGTTACCTGTGCACACACACACACACCCATTTCTATCACACTGACTCCTTGGTGTCCTCTGTGTTTTTCCTCCACCTCAGGGTGTCCACAGTTTTATGGGCTCTGAACACACTGTGACCTCCTAACACACCTGGAAAAGCCTCTGTTGGAGTGGGACCAGGCAGGGCATTGGCCTTCTAGGGTCAAAGTGGTCATACTGAAGCTTCCAGCACTTGCACAGGATCAATTCTAAGGTCCTCTTGGCTGCACATTTCGGACCCCTAATGGCATCAAAAAGACTCCTGAGGCATTAAAAACGCCAGAGTCCTATATTGGAGTACCTAGGTTTGAGTTTGGCACAGCCCCCAATGCTCGCTTCCTCCTAATATATACTCTTGGTAGCAGCAGGTGATGGCTCAAATGCTTAGTTTCCTGCTATCCTTGTGGGAGACTTGGACTGCATTCCCACCTTCTGGTTGTGACCTGGCCCAGCCCCAGCATTTGGGAAGTAAATCAGCAGATGGGAGCTTTATGTCTGTATCTTAAATAAAAATAATTTTAAAAAGGGCCCAGCACGATACTGTAGTGGTTAGAGTCCTTGCCGGGATACCATATGGGTGCCAGTTCTAATCCCAACAGCCCTGCTTCCCATCCAGCTCCCTCCTAGTGGCCTGGAAAAACATTCGAGGATGGCCCAAAGCCTTGGGACTCTGCACC